GCTATCTTCTGCAAACACAGGACACCAGGGGAGGGAGACAGGAAGGTTTCCAGGGAAGAGAACCACCCACCCACAGGTGGGAAGAAAGGTTTACTTCAGACATTAGAGAAACAGAAGCAGAAGCAAAGGGAGAAATCTTCTTCTTGCCATTCTGCTGCTTTGCCACATGCTGGGGGAGCAGCACATTGTTCTCCAGCTGAACAATGCCCAGTTCCCACCACGTGCAAAGGGAAAAGAATGTGAGCTTTGCTTTGCTTTATTATCAACTTGTGCAGTGCAGAGATAACTGCACAGGCTGCTCGGTCCCCGAAAAGCAAAGATGAATTTTGATCAAAATTGGATTACAGGGCATTTCATTTTTACTTAAGAATGGTTCTGAATTGGTTTCCCATTTACTCAATATCCACAAAAATAACAAAATAAAAACTGTCAAGACAGAATAATGCTGCTGAAAAGAAAAAATAAAGCTCAAAAATTTGCTAAAAAATAATTGGACTGAAACAGCTCCAAGTCAGATTAACATTAAATCTTCTTAAGAATGATGAAGGCTCTTGCAACCAAAGGCAAGATATTTCATTAGGCTGAATCTGCATATTTAATTCTCAGCATGCCAATTTAATGTCATTTTTTTTTTGGTTATCAGGGATCGTTCTTTCGTGATACATAATAATGACATTGCGTTTGGCTTAAAAGTAGAAGTCCACAATCAAGGCAATCACAGACTATTAAGTGCTCAGTCAAATCCCAATCAAATTTTGTTCAAATGGGTTAAAGGGAGATGATCAGAGCTGCCAATCCCAAAATACAGCCCAGCCCTTCAGCCCATCCTGTGGCCAAAGGAATAGTACTCTCTTGACTTCAGCAGACTCTATGATGGAAAATATTTCTGTCCAAAACAAAATTGGCCTGTAATCTGGGTAAGCTATTCAGAGCAAACAGTGGCAAATTTAGCCTTTTCTCCTGTTCACAAATCATCCATGTACGGACTTTGTTGTTTTAATGCCTTTGCATGTATTTGTCTGACAAACACTAAATATAGAAATAGCTCAGCAGCCTGGTGACATTGATTATATCTTGTATTATCTATGGTAGATTGTGGTATATGACTGGTCCTTTAGGTTACACTGCAATTTAGCCATAGAGCAAATATGTTAAAATACCAGTGTAAAATGTACTAAATCAGATCCTCATGAATTTTAAAGCCTGGAGTCTGAAGCTCTTCCTCAATCTGTTTACCAAATCAGTGTGGCTGCTCTCAAATTAAAGTGCAGTGCCCCATAAGCAAGATCAGGCTTATGAGCCATCATAAACTCACTCTGCACTTGTAAATGGCAGCTGATTCAGCTGTAACCTGAAAGCAGCTTTTGGGACCAGAGCATTAAGCATTTCCAAAAGTTTCTTACCATTGTCAGCCTTCTAGACTCTCAAAATCATCCAGCGTGCCAGGCTATGGGTTCTGAGTTGAGTGAAGTGCCTGTCCTCAGCAGCATATATTGAAATGCAACAGCAATGTTCCCTTTGTTTCAAAATGTTTGTTTTATAACACACGCTTGTAAATGTGTGTGTTTGTGAAGGGATTGATTGAAAATAAGGTCACAATACTGAAAAAAAGAAAATCTGCCTTTTTGCCAAACAATGTAGAAATGTTGCATGTGAGGGTCAGATACAGAGGCAAATTCCATTTAAAGGGTTCGAGGCTCAGTGTGATGGCACAGAGACCAATGTCAGTGTTTCCTACTCTGAGCCAGATTTTGTCAGAAATTGCTGCTCAAGGACCTCAGGTGTCATCTCTCCATGGAGGACATAATGTACATCTTATGGTTTAGTCTTTTCTCTGCTGCCAAAAGGGCAGAGCCAGGGCTGCAAATGTCTCCAAAACCAGACTAGAGAGGACTGTAGCCTACCTGTAGGCACAGGCTGCCCAGAGAAACTGTGGATGCCACATTCCTGACCGTGTTCAAGGCCAGGTTGGACGGGGCTCTGAGCAATCTGGTCTTGTGGAAGGTGTCCCTGCCAATTCCAGGGGGTTGGGCTGGGTGATTTTTGGAGGTCGCTTTGAACTCAGACCTCTCTGAGAGTTGACTGAAGGATATCCATACATTCCTTATGCCCTGAGTGGATATTCAGCCAAGAGAATACTTGTTCTATAGGTACACAAAACTTATTTATTACCTGTGAGAGATGTGATCCTCAAGTATGTGCCAGGGAAAGGAAAGTATTCCCTGGGTCATGTTGTCTCCTCTTGTCTTGGATGTATTGTAGTATTTCTCTCCAAGAAGAAAACTTTTCTTGCTGATGTGCCAGTCTCTTGGAAAAAAAAAAGAAAAAACCCAAAAAGACAAAAATTCCCCTTCTGCCGACATTCCCTTCCAAGTCTGGGAACCTCTATTGTCTTTTCTCTGGTAATAAATGATAATAATTAAAGGCAAATACACAATAATTAGTCACACTAGGTTTATCCATCTGGCATACCTGTATCTCATCACTGTGTCTTTGAAACAGATGACAAGCACCATATTGCACAACATCCTGCTAATGGGTCTGAGCAGGGAAAAAGAAGGTAAAAGGGTTACCACAAAAAAAAAATAAAGAAAGTAAAAGAAAAAAAAAAAAGGTTAGCAACAGGGACTGGCTGACATTATCAACATTATAGAACATTTTAAAAAATAGTGGTGGCTGACTGTCAAGTTATAAACCACTTAGTGGCAGATGGGTTTTCAACTGGGGGTTAGGAAAACATGGAAATATGCAGCCCTTGGCTTAAACTACCTCCTCCTTAAAATACCTGTACCTGACATACCTACTGTTGAAACAAGGATCACTTCCTGGAAGATTTTAGCTGGGCATGCAGATGAATGAGGAAAACAAGCCATTCTAAAAGCTAAATGAAAATTTTGTTTCATTCTGAGGATAAGACATTATAGACCCAGTAATCAGCTATTTTGGTCCCTCTTCTCTGGGTTGATTGATGCACACCAGGAGTCTCTCCATTGCTATCAGGGCTGCCTGAGAGAAGGCAGAGAAAAATTAATACAGCAAAGAATTTTCAACAAATATTTACTTATTTTTTAAAAAAATGATCATACAAGTCTGGCATTTGATTTCTGGGAACTTGTGAGAAGCAGAGATTTACTTGTATAAATAATCACAGGGAGCCAATTTCAGTCACATGCATTCAGATTTCGATTAAACCTCCACAAGTGCTTCAACTCCTTTTCAAAGAAAAAGCAGACCCTGGCATGCTCTGAGAGCTGATTGTCTGGTTGTAATGATTTTTGGGTTGCAGTGCAGTCGTGCCCAAGACACCCTCTGTGGAGCTGGGCCCAGCTATGTTACCTAGCTGCATAAAAACAAAGAAAGCAAACAAAGGCAGTGCCTGACCAAAAGCCTCCACAACCTTGGTGTAAGATGAGCATTAAGCACAAAAGTGATCTTGTACTTCCCCAGGTCTAACCTTCCTGAACCTTGCTGAGCTGATAGCTCAAAGCTACCAGATGGCACTCTCTAAAGCAATAATATTTTTTTTAAGTATAATAGATTATCATAGATTTATAATAGATTCTGAGGTGGAAAAAAAAAGTCATTTTTTAATTTACACCCACTACTCATCCAAGCTTCATGGCAAAATCTTCCTTCACAAATATCAAGCTGCCCTGTCACTCATACTCTGTGAAGATTTGTATCTGGCTGGGATTTAGGGAACATCTCAGTTCTGCCTTTGCGATGAAGGTGCATCTTCTTTAGGTGTTACTGAGCTGAAGCTCACCACAAGTCAGGGGTGGCTGATGTGATGCCAGAAGCTGTACTGTTTTCTGTCGAACATCCCAATCTCAGGAAGAGAAGAACCATGACCCTGGCCAAACTTCTGTGCACTCAGAAAATGCAGCTAGGTGTTTGTTAAAATGGTAATGGCAAATTGGTTAATTTTCATGTTGTTCTTGTGCATTAGGATCCCTGATCATAAGGAAGATAAAGAAAATAATGGAAAGGGTGAAGGGAGGTTCTACAGGTGATGCTCCCCTAACACCTCATACTAACTCTATCCCTGACCATATTGACATAGGGAATGCATCATTACCTGAATTGGGAGAACTGTTTTTTATATATATATACACCTGGAGCTTATCTTGCGCAACTTTGCCTCTCAGAAGCATTTCAGCCAAGCTAAGCCCACTGGCATACATCACACACAACAAGCTGTGATGCTTTTGCAATAGTCTAGAAATGCAAAAAAAAATTGTATTGGTCTGCAAATGAATTGACAAACTCAATCTGGGAAGAGCCATGAGGCTCTAGGATGGGAAACTTATATAAAACCAGAGCAAAACCATGGAGTTTGTCATTAATTCCTCCTAGGTAAATTAACTGGGGACAAGTTTTTCAAGATACTTCCTGTACATATTTTCTATACAAAGAGACCTTCTCTTGTTTGTTTCTCTCTTCCTCTGGACAGTCCCTAGTGATGATTTTCACAGCTCTTATGGAAGCAGCTCATTGTTCTGCAGAGACTTAATTAAAGTGTACTTCCATGTGAAATTAGGCTATTGTATTTATTTAATCTTTATGGTAATTGCTGTAGAAGGGCTGTGACTGTCTGCATCCTACTCTCACACCCACGTCCCTCCCCACCCCACGGCCACCGCTCCCCGAAGGAAATGGCAAGTTGTTCTGCCCTGCTTGAACTCCTCATCTGCTCAAGTGATGCATTTGAACTTTAACCCACAGACAGCAATATTTGCTCACCATGCCAGCGTCGTTCACAGGCTTAAGGTGTGCTGGAAATGCTCTGCAGAGAGAAACGGGTTTGTGGTTTTCTTCTCCCAGGTATCAGCTGATACTGCATTGACTTCTTACAGCTGTACTGACTTATTAGCAGAGCTCATGTGGTATTTCACACTTTCTGTGCCAGTCCACGGGTCTTTCCTAGGCTGAATTTCATCTTGAAACTATGCACTCCATTGTCATGGGAAAGCTTTTTCTCCAAATTAAAAATTAAAGGTCTGTGACTCCACCTTAATCACCTGAAATGTTAAAAATACAATGCCAATGAACATACAATTACCAGGTATCATTTATGTCCCAGTATTATCCAAGGAAAGTGTAAAATAAAGCTCTGGCACTTGATTTCTATTGTTGGCGGTAGGAGGAACTGTTTCAATTTGTTTTCAGAACATTTCTACAGTGAGATGGGTCTGTTTTCCAAAGAGATGTTGGTAAATTGAAAACAACATCAGGTTGCCTTGACTCCACTGTGCCTGGAAACAGATGAGTAGAGTTGCAGCAAGGAATAAAAATCAAATAAATGTAATTAAAGCCTCCAAATGGTGTGATGCCAGTATGATTGGCATATTTTATTTTGTCCTCAAAGACTGAGCTCCCAAAAAGGTTTGTCCTGAGATGCACCAGCAGACAGGTGATCCAGCCCCCTCTCAGACCATACCTAAAGTTCAAGTCTGACTCAAGAGAGTCACATCACAGGAAGAGGAAAATTGAGGTCTCTGGCTCATCACTGTAAAGATAAAATTGTATTTTCTGTCATACTCTAACATCCTGTTTAAATTACTATTGCTGCAATCCTCTCACATACAGAGAGAGGATTCATATTTAATATATTTTTTTCAGATTGGTTGAATAAAACACAAGAATCCAGCTTTTCATAAATCAGTTGTCTGAAGGACAGATTATAATCCAAAGCATTTCCAGAAATTCTCTCATCTGTCTTCTGCCAGGTGTGTATTTTATGCAATTGATAACCTCCACTTTGTTTCCATATGAACTGTCTATTCTCTTTCATTCTGTCCCACAGGGCTCCGTGCTGGCCCTGGTGCTTCTGAAGCTCTGAATTGGCTTCCTCTTCTAAATCAGCATGAGGAGTGAATTATTATTGCAACATCACATCACTATCACTCAGATTCACTTTGATTTATCTGCAGGCTGATCCCAACAGCCCAGCTCTGCTTTCTTGCTGGGTTGATGCAGCTATTGTTTCAAATCTGGTGGTAGAGGCACTGTGTCTGTGCTCTTTCTTTGCAGTTTGCCTTTCTGGGTGGTGGGCTGTGTAACTCCATCCTGACATAAGGGACACGTCCACCACTTTGGAAGAAGATATGAGAAACCACTCACTAGGCAAAAATGGAATAATTCATCTCCACTGCACTGCAAAAGCTTTAACCTAATCCTTTGGGCACAGAGAATTGCTTCAACTCGAGGTTTTATAGCCATTCAAAACTTTTTTAGTGTTAACCCTGACTATTCCTCTTCTCCATGTAACTATCTGATGGCTGTACAGACCCCCACTGAAATCTGACTCTGGGGAAATCTTCCCACAAAATTAACTTTTCTGACACTCTAATACCTGAACTAGTATTTCTTATTCTGTTTCATTTTTTGTTGCAATGACAACAAGAAGGTAAAGAAAGGATGATTCATAACTTTTGAAGAGGCGTAATATTCAAATATCTGGAACCTCTAGTTGGGGTTTGAGGATGACCCTTCATAGGTGCTGTGTTTGCATGTCAAATGAGGCATATTCCAGTCTGAGAGGTCTTCCCCCTTTAGGAAAACACCAGATTTAGTAGGTACCTAAAACAACCAAGGGTGTTCAAAAATGAGTAATCTGTTCTTTTGCTTGCTTTTCCCTGGAGAAGACTCAGTTTTTAGGTAAAAGGAATCTAGGGTATTGTTTGTGGGACTTCAATTTGTCTTGGTTTTGCTCCATAGCTGTGACCTCAGCTATCTGCAATCTGTTCCTACACATTCCTACACATTCCCCCTTGTGCAGGTCTAGAAAATGGGGGCAGGAGCTCAGCAACTCAAATGAGTTTCCACCTGCAGCCCCTCCCGAGTTTATCTCCTTAGACCTCCACCCTATTTGGAATTCCTTCTTTTCTACAATGCCTCCTCTCCTCAGAGAATTGCTCTTTTATTGAGCTTATTTTTGGACTCCAAAGGTGCTGTCAGAAAAGGCAGAGATGACAGTTCTCTTTGATGCAAACTGGGTAATACCACTGCACTTGTTGGCGTGCTGCACCTACAGGAGTGTAGGGAATGCATTTGAGGGGATGTTTGATCTTCCATGACTATCTCTTACAATCCCTGTTTTTATATGGTTTATATACACTCCACGTCTGTCCAGGCACTGCAGCACCAAGGACTGATCTCAAACAGAGCATGTGTTTAAACTGGCCAGTGTTATCTTCCAAACCCTGAAAAATCCATGGGGCCACACCTTACAGGGCCTAAAGGAAAGAAACAAGGAAAACAAAACAAAAAGCCCAGTGACTATGAACGGGCAGAAACTTCAGCTCCATTATCACTCCCCTTCATCTGCTCAAAAACCCTCACTGCAGGGGTTGTCATGGTGATGCAGGTTTGACCTCTCACTTTTTACTCTTCCAGGAGCTAAAAAGGTAAAAATGAGCCATTCTGTCTCGAATGAAAATCAACCTTCCTCAGTCAAAGGACGCCAAATTGCTTTTTCCCTTTGTCAAACCCGAATGTTTCCATAGGCGACACAGAAATATATAAATAACCAGCACCAGCATCAAGGAGCACCCGTGGGATGTGGCAGTGGCCTTGGTGGACGGGGCTCAGCAGGAATGGTCCATCCCTAAGTTTCCTGGAAGTCACAAGGTGCCACATGCCACAGTCCCCCTTTGCTGCCTCATTCTGTCTCTACAGCCAGATCCTCACTCAGCCACTTCAGCGTGGGGTTCGTGCTTGTGGCAGCTCTAGGGCAGAAAAATCAAATTATTGATTGAACTGTGCAGCAGCCTCATAAGGCATTATTAGCAGCCTGCTATAAGCAGGACCAGAAAGGGTAAAACAATTTATTTTTATTAATATTCTTGAGAGCTGGGCTTTAGCAAACCCGCCATTTCCCTGGGCTGGCAGCAAAGTCCTTGCACCGTCTCCTTGTCCCTGGATGAAGCTGGCAATGCACATGGAGGTCCTTCTGTTTGTCTGAGGGGTGGCCTCATGTATTGGGATAGAGCCCTTCTCTGAACCACCAGCAGAAGTAATCCCCTTCTGTCAATTACTATTGAATCTAAGTCCTCTGCTTTGATAACCAAATCCTTCCCTACTTGCTCATTCCTCCCATCCAGGCTCTCCTCCCACCACTTTCACACAGTGCCAGGGTAGCTTGACATGTGAAACCAGCATGACTTCAAATCAAATATTCGGGTTAACTACAAGCTGGCCTTGAATGAAGCATTTGAAGAACCTCTGATGCTAATTCCCTGATGCTTAACACGGTTCCATCAAATCTCTTCCTGCATGAGACTCTCTCCACCAGTTCTACCTTAAACAAGAGCTACTGAATTTATTTGACAAAATCAAAACAACTTAAGGTATATATATAAATACACACACACACACACACACATATATATTGCATGTGTGTGTGTATTTATATATGTCATATATATATATAAAGTGCCAGCCTTAAAATCCTACTAAACTGCAACTGAAGTCTGGAGTCATCTAAAGTTCAAATATTTCCCATGATTTCTGTATGGCAGGTTCTGAGAACAAGTGTTTTTGGATGGTGTAGCAATATGTCAGAGCACCAGACAACAGGAATTCAGCTGCTCTCCAAATATCATTGTCCTCAAACCAGGGACCATCTCTCTGAAGATCCTTCACTCCCACATCCTTGTTTCCACTTCTCCCTCCTCGCGGATAAATCTTTAGAAAAATGTGTTCAACAGACAGGGTCTGACAGTCCTTCCTCCCACCCCATGTGCACTCACCAACCCTCAGACACACTCCAGTGCCCTCAAAGGTTTTGTGCCTGAACCCCTGAGGTGTTTCAGCAGAATGGAGGCACTTCTGCCTCCCATACACTCCAGAAGCAGAGCTGTGCTGAACACCAAGTGCCTCCAGGCCCAAGACTATCTCTCAGACCCAGCCATGGGACCTTCTTAGACCTTCCCTTTTTCTACTTTGCAAATCAGCCATACACTCATTGAGGCACCAGGGTCTCCTCCTTTCCCACCATCTCAGTGAGTAACTTCAAGTGTTTTGAGAGCTGAACATGGGCAGCCCCTGCCATGACCCACCCTTCTCCTTTGCCAGCCTCCCTGGGGGGTGTAACACCTTCCCTCTCATCCACACAGCAGCCTGGACTGTCCTTGTCACAGGGCTCTTGCTGCACCTCTTGCTCATTTCTGGAAACAGCCACAGACTTTCCCTTCAAATCCATCCAGCCCTAGCAGTGACCAGAGTCACCATGACCTCCTGATCCATTCAGAGGAGGCATCTCATGAAGGGAAACAGCAGATTGCTTCAGATGATGCCCTGAATTATGAAAACAGACAGTATTAGTGACAACACTTCAAGAGAATCTTGTGGAAGGGCATTCCACAGGTTAATTATATAAAGTTTTATATTATATATATAAAATATATATTTATATATATATTATATATAGTATATATTATATAGAGTTTTCCTTTACAACAGTACAGCCCAGTGAGTCTGACTGGCCTCTATAAAAGGTCACTGTCATATCCCACACAAGCCATTTCTCTAGCACAAACAGGCATTCTCTAAGAGTAAGCTTCACAGGGAAAAAATACATATTTTCTCAGACATACCCTTTTGTCTTAATTTCTGTTATGCCAAAAGTAAATTCACCTGTATTTAGACTTCCTTTGGGGTGAGAGGGATTGAAACAGTGCCCTGATCCTATTATTTTTGTATTGTAACACTTTGGATATAAGTGATGGGATGTTACAAAGGTGCTAATTTCTGTATATTTATGCTCAGAATTTCAGCCCTGAAATAGAAATGTAAAGGAACTTACCACCACTTTTTCTCTCTGTGTGTTATCCTGCATTTTCCACAGCCTGAAAGATAGAAGTTATTAGATAAATGACTGCCAGTAGAATGCTATAGCTGCAATGTAAACTATGAAGACAAAATCCATAACAACAACAACAAAAAAAATAAAGTCTCACTCAGAGAAAAGTTCTGCTTTTCACATTTAAATGTACTAGTTATCAGTTATTCCTGTTCACAGAGCATTAAAATACATGTTGTTTCCTAAGCACTGGTGCAGCTCTAACTAGACTCAAGCTTGGAGCTAAAATAGAACATTTTTTACCAAGCAGTATAATGTAAAACTGTTGTCTAAACATCTCTCCTCCTTACTAGGTCTCTCTACATTTTTCTCCAGAGAATCCTGCTTTTTTTTTATAGCACCATTATTTATATCTTTGTTTATTAGTGGAATGAACTTGTCAGTAATTCTCTTCCCACCAGCCAACCTTTGTCCCAGCTCCCTACGTGCTCATCTCTCCAGCTTGGATCAGACACAATGGAGAGAGCTGCTGCCAAAGTCGTTTCAACATCATCAGCTGCTCAGCCCGCTGTGGGGCAAGGAGGTCACCCCTGGATCCTCGCCGGTGGCCTCCGAGCCCAGGGCCACTGTGGGACCCGTGGACACTGACCAGGCTGCAGTGGTCAGCCAGTGGCTCTGGTGCTCACAAGTGGCACTGTGAGGTGAAGGGATCTTGCAGGGAGCCCTGAACACTCAGCCACGGACCCAGCACAGGCATGGAGTGGGAAGAGGTGGCTCATGGAATTCCCAGGACAGGCAGATTCCTTCATGTGGAGTTCCATACTGGGCTGTAAGGTGCTGCCATGATGCTGGAAGCAACTTTAATGCCCCAAACCCCTGAGATATGAGGGTGATTCTCAAATTCCAGGACTCATCTTCTGATTTTACCACTCTAATTCACCAGTTTAACCCAGACACTGCCTGGACACATCCTACAGATGCTCCGCCCTTCAAAAAGACAAAGTTTATCTCCCCCCAATATTTTGCTTTTAACTTAAAACTTCTGCTTTCACGGCTGCAAGGATACTTGAGTCTGTCTTTGAGTCCTGCCAGAGATTTCCTTCTGTGGTTTTTAGGTAAAACAGCTGGGGAAATTAGTGACAAATAAACTTTTGCCTTAAGTTGGAGCAGACGAGCAGCAGAGCCCCTGTGAACAGTTCCTCACCAACGTGGGGATTCGCTGTGGGTTGAGAAGGTGCTGCATGTCAGCTGATCCATGGCAACTGTCTGTCCATGGCAAATGTGAGATAATTTAAGGGAGTTTAATCCTTTTTCTTTGCTAGTCCACATGATGAGTTCGTGCGGGGTGGTTGGTACACAGTAAATTCACACCGTAATTTACTGTGCACTAATTTCCCAAAGCTTTTAATTTCACAGTGTCTCAGTTTCCTCATCTGTAAAAGAGAGATAATAAATACTTCCCTTTCTGGCAGGAGTGCTCGAGATCCTTCAGCAGTAAACATAAAAGGAAACATTTTTAAATAGTTACTTACAGAAACTTAATTTTTAGTGTAAACAGTTATTTGTGTCTGATCTTATACTACAACAGCATGAGACTACATGTAGGAGCAAATAAAATTTGAAAAGTAAATAACTTCTGTTAAAAACAACAAGGATACTGACCATAATATTATTTATATACAGCTGGAATTGCAAATATTTTATTAAAGCTTTCTGTTTCAATCCATCTGTGATTCCTTATAAAGAAAAACTAACATTATTCATTTGCCATAAAGATGCACTAGGCTGTTTTCTTTAAAAAGAAGCAACATGTGTCAGGAAGGCCTAAACCTTGTATTTCTCAGGAGGCCCTAAAACTTCTTTTAGAGGGAGTGATGCATGATCAGACCCAGAAAACAGTGTGGTTTTATTTCAGATTTTTCTAGACTGTAATAGCCCAAGGGTATGTGCTATAAACTGGAGGAGTTGAAGGAGACCTGTTTTTAAGAGGAACATGGTTTCTGTTTCTGATTGGAATGTTTGTTTTAAACTTTTCTTTTAGGGGAACATTTCCAAACTAGTTGCAGTTTCAATGATGACTATATTCACATCACAATCCCAGTCCCTGGGAGTTGTCCTATTCTTCCTGGTGCAGCTGAGACTTCAAGAAAGGGAAATTTGCCTTTAAAATTTATTATTCATGCTGAAATTATGCATATAGTTCTAAAACCTAAAGACTGTGGAGGTCAGGAAGCAAAATGAAAATCAGGAACTTTTTTTCATTAGCATCCATATACTGAAAATTAATATTAACATATAAAAAGGAAACACTTGAAATTTGTGTATATCGATATAGGACTCTTTTTTCCCCCCTCAGCTGCTGAAGGAAACTTTTAGATCTGCTCCTGCTCTAGTAACAAAGCAGTTTAAATTGAAAACGCTTTCCATTTCTTCCTTTTCTAATTCTTCAGGTATTTCTGAGTGCTATTTCACCAGGCAAAGAACAGCTAATTCCAATCAGCGGTTGCCTCCTTGAGAGAGTTACAACGAGGTGCAATCAGCTCTGCTCCGTTCCGTGGTACTCAACTGCCATCCACTGGAGGAGAGAGGCAGAGGCAGGAGCTCTTCTCAACTATTTAAGTCACAGCAAAAATAAAAAAGAAAGTACGAACTTGGGTCGCACTTTCCTTACTTATCTGTTCTCTTGCCTCTCCTTAATGTGAAGAACAATTGAAGTTAATAAGCCAAAGAAAATACAGCTGACAAGAAAATCCTATCACTTTCTCGACCAAGCGAATGCAGTAGTGACTGTCCTTAAGCACTGTCTATAAATCCAGTAATTCTTAGTAGCCATATGAAGAGAAAGAAAAGTAAAGGAGTGAAGAAAAACTACGATTTTAAGATCCGGTCTAGGGCAAGTAAGGATGCTTAGAGCACAGTCTTTTACACTAGAAAGCACACAGGAATCTCCTTTAGTATGCTTATGTAAATGTTAAATTCTCAAAATATCACTGATTAAATAGAAAACACTTACAATAAAAGTCTCTAATTTTTGACTGCAACAAGAGTAGCAGCAGAAAATGGGCTTGCTGCAGCCAAGGGATCTTGTCCATCTGCCCAGCATTTTGATGCCTCAGCTGACTTGAATTAGGAGAGAATAACTTGGAAGATTTTTGAGTGTATCCAGCCCCAAGTTAAGAGAGTCCTCTGAAGCAGTGACTTATATTGCTTAAGATCATGCAGGGAGCTCCCGGTTGCGCTCCTGATGGCTTTATTAGAAACACAGTGGTGGATCTGTGCGATATAAAAACCATCCAGGGGAGAGCTTCAACACCTGACCTCTGCAAGGCACAGAAATATTTGGGTGCGAGGGGGATAAAAAAAATAGCTGTGAGTGCTTGACCGTTCCCGGTACCTCCTGTCACCATGCCCTTTCCCCCCAAGGACGCGCCTCCCATGCAACACATGTTGGAATGAACTTCTGCTCCTCGGAAAACGGGATGACACAGTTCCCCGTGTGTGCACTTCCCGTAGATTCCTGCAGCTCCACACCGAAGGATGCTGTGCTGGATGAGGTTGAGATCCTTGGTACCCTGAGACCGAGCTTTTTGTTCCTGGTGAGGCCCTTGACAGCTGAGATGGGCGGCTCTTGTTTGATTGTCGCTCTCCATCACGCTCAGGGGAAGCAGGGCTGGAAAGATGGGCAGGAATATCCTTCACTGCCTTCCCTTCTGCAGGAGCCTGACTTGTGCTTGACTCGTGTTCTGCAAACGCCGCAGTCCTTGCGTAGACAAAATCCTACCAACTCGGAGGTTTAGTTTGCCTGGCTAAAGGCTGCAGGATTTGACCTCTGGAAGCTCATGCTAAGTCCTCACAGCTCTGATTTTGAGTTTAAGCTTTGGCCTGGAATAACAATGACTGTGAGGGAAGCAATAGGTTATGAGCTGGGTTAAATGATACCTGCTTCTTGCCAGAAAGTCTAACTGTATTCAAGCAACTTCTGTCCTCATTTTCCTTTAAATAAATATATAAAGATGTTCCAACTTCCTATCTGAGCTGCAATAATGAAAATCATGTGCACATTAATTTGTACGGGGGTCACCGAGTCTCCCCAGCTCAACGGTTTTCAAACAGAGTGCGTAGTAAGCCCATAAAACATTTATTTTTCATAATTTATGAAGCATTACATATTGTGAGTCCACAATGCCAGCTGACGTAATACGTGATAAATTTGAAATAACAAAACATTTCTCATGTATTTTCCTCCTGATGTGACAATGTGGGACATAAATTTAAAAGAAAGTTCCCTTAGAAGACAAAAGCAAGGCAAAAGAAAAGACTGCTCTTAAATCAATAAATACTTATATTACACCAATTTATTGAGCCATTTCCCCACTCCAAGGCTGTGGCTCCCAGCTTTTTGAAGCTACCCCTGCTTCAAAGCTGGAATGAAAGGCTGCTGGGGTGGGTCACTTGTGCCCCCCACGAGTCAAGGGGGTGGCAGCGATGCCGCAGCTGCCAGTGCTGCCCTGTCCTTCCACAGCCACCAGCACGGGCTCCCAGCACAGCTGCTCCCTGTCCTGAGCCTGGAAAAATCTACCCAGGAATGATGACAGGCAGCAGGGCACAAAATCAATACCGTGTAAAGGTAATTTTCCTCCGTAACAATTATCATCCCTGTATTCCCAGGAAGAGTAGCAGTGAAAGGCTTTGCACTTTTGAAGATAACTTTCTAGTGCTAATTTAGCAGGCATGCAAATATGTAATTGCAGGATTATAATACAGAGCACAGAGCACTGCTGAAAACACTTAAAACTCACCTACGTGGCTCTGAAAGCCAGCTGATAAATTCTCATATTACAGGAAACACCTTATGGGCTGAAGGTTGAGATTCTCAGCATCTGTAAAATTGCCAAGTGACTCCTACCAAGCACTGAGTACCTGGTGCTGAGCACGATTTGGTTTCATTTTGTTTTGTTCAATTCAGTGCACCAAAGCAATATCTGCTTCAAGAAAATGCTGCAATCCAAGGAAGTGAAAAAATGTGAAAGTTATTTGAATGCATGACGCAGAACAGGAGTGAAGGATGGAGCAGGGCAAAGAGGTTCAGGGACTTTGTCTGGTGTCAGTACTCTGTTTTAGAAATAAACACAAAAATATTTAAAGATTGTGAAAAGGCGGCTTTGCCATAAAATAATGATCTTTCCTTTTAAGTTCAGCTTTTATATTCGTAGAGATTGATTAAACTTTACACCAGAAGCCCAAATGAGAGGGGAAAAAAATTAAAATTCATATGAAAAATACTCAGCGGGAATGATGTGAAGTTCAGTGTGTTGGAAGTCACTTTTCCCAGGAAAAGACAGCACATCCACCACAGCCAGACATGCAGGGACATCTACTGGCAGAGCAGCCAGACCTGGCCTTGATGAGTACAAAAATCTCGTTTTACACAAGAAAACCCATCAGTTTTAGTGACAGCAGAAGGTTTTGGCTGATCTAGTTAGAGGAATGTGTACAGAAAAGGGAGAAAAAGCTACTGGCTTGTCCCAGGGGTGAAATTAAGAATTTGCACAACACATCTCAGAGTGGGGTGTCCTTAGCTCAGCAACCCTGGCTGCAAACCACCCCCATGGTGGGGGTGCTGGACACACAGTCAATCTCACCCTTCCCAACACTATTCCTGCACCCCTCTCCTGCCAGTGTGGCCCTGAGCACAGGGGAACCAAGGCTCAGGTCTCACCACAGAGTTCTCCTGCATTAGCCTCGGGGACAGCAGTGAGGCTTGGCTGCTGTTTCCTCCCCCTACCCCAGGCAGAACATTCCCAGAAGTAAAAGGCTCCTTGCCTCCTCTCTGCCCTTTAATATAACCACAGGAGACAAGACACATTTAATCCCTTCTGGAAAGAGATGTACATCAGACTGATGAAATAGAGCAGGAACCAGCCTGACCCCAACATTTGGAACACTGGCTACCCTTCTTGAGACAGGGTGAGGACCACAAGCCAGGCAGCCTTACTGTAAAGAGATAAGAAGTGTTTGTTTTTCTCATCTCCAGATCAAGACAAATTTCTCAACTCCTTGTAGGAGTCCTGATTCTATAACTCATAAATGGAAATATCTCCCCACCCCCACCCATGGCGTCTTCTCCTCATACTGTTTTCTGCCCTCAGGGTATCTGTTCTATACTTCCAAAAAAAGTCCATCTGGTTATTTTACTGTAACACACTTACCAGAACTGTAAGTTCATAGAAAAAACATTTGAAAAGGACCTCTGGAGGTTTCTAGGCCAGCCTCCTTCTTCTTGGAGCTTCATTAACATCAACACCAGACCAGACCGGGGATGTTTTTTGTGTAGGTGATCCCTGAAAGTCACCAAGGAGAGAAATCCCACCACTGCCACAAATGACATGCCCTAGGGTGGTGCTGCATTCCAGGTAAAGAAGTTTAATTCTAGTTTTAGACATAAGACATTAGTCTTGAAGTGAAACACTCATCCATACTAGCTGAACCTTGTTCAGCAATATTGAAGTTCCAGCTTTTACTTGGATTTCAAAACCACCCTTTGGGTTATTTGCATTACAATTTTAGTTCAAACCATACTTCCCTCCAGCACAGACCCTCAGAAAGGCCACAACTGGACAAAATTCAGATTTCTACTACACCTCCACCAAGCAATGTGGGAATAAAAAGGTTGAGAGGGGTTGACAGATCAGGCAGGAGAGCTGGGAAGCAAGGGAGCATAGTGATGTACACTGACAATGACACAGAGACCTAAGATGGGACTCTTATAAATACCATGGTCATGTGCTGCCTTTAAGTCCCATTTCATCCACCCTAAATATACTCACTTTTACTTTGATTACACAGGGCTTTCAGCATTTTTAGGCTCTTCCCAAAAGCAGCTGCTAAAATCCAACTAAGTGTTTCTTTAGAAGTAAAGCACCTACAAAATCTTTCACTTAGCTGACATTATGAAATCAGAAAATGATACATTACGGTTGCATTCCTTACAGTTTTATACTTCATTTAAAACATTTCACCTGCTTTTATTTTTTTTTTTCTTTCCTTTTTTCCCCAGTCATTACACAATATCTGAAAGATAAGAGAGGGAAATCATTTTGTTACTTTAAATACTTATCTCAAGCTCTCATTTTGAGTACATTGAATACATGTACTGTGCTAAAAAATGCACAAGGGAAAAAATTCCAAGGATACAGCTAAGAGATTGTGAGAAGAAAAAAAATCAGAAAACAACAACAGCAGATCATAGAAGAAGAAGTGTCTAAAAAAATGAGAAACAACAAAAAAAGGGACAGAGCTATAGCATGGTAGAAGAAAAAAATAAATATACCACATAATTTATTGCAGGGAGAGTTCTGAAGAAAATGTCTTGTGAAATAAATATAATGCTCATGAGGACAAGAGATCTCATTCATATCCAATCTGTCTTGTGTAAAGAACTAGGCAATAATGTTCAAGTAAGTGAGTCACTGTGAGCTCTCCCAGTTCGGCTGAAGATTGCTCAATAGAAATAATAACAAGCCTCAGAAAAAAGACAGTGTAAGTACAGGTGGGAAAGGGAGACAAACTCAGAGCAATAAGTACATACAAAATATCGAGATTGCTGCACAAAGTAAAGGCATGATATGTGTCATTCTCTTCCTTCCAGACTATTCCTTCTGTGCCAGTGAAGCTCTGTGCCCAGGCTGACAGCTTCCCTCTGCCCGTGCTTGAGACAGCACAGATGTGAGCAAGTTTCATAAAGGGTGATTTATTTATGGATCCAGAGCCAGGGGCTTCTCAGTAAAGGACCTTCAACTCCATATTCTGTTCCTCATAATGAGCCATGGATGCCCAAGTCCCAGAAAATATCACGTGCCCTCTGATGCCACCACTGTCCTGTTGGCAGAGGATCTGGTGAGGATCAGGAAGGTGGTAGCTCAGGATGCAGACACTTTGGTAAATTAGAATGACATATAATTGCCATGAATTAGCTACATTTAACCTTTATAAAGGGGGATAGTCTTTTATATCCATGTGGTCTTCCACAGACAGACTGAGGGTATTTGAAGTCATGGCCAAGTGGGCAACCCTGGCAGTGCAAACTGCTCTTGGACACATCAGGAGAGCTCTGAACTGACACATCCTAGGGAGAGACTGGCTTGGGCAGGACAGGAACAGCATCACACAGCCCTGGGACTGTCCAAGCACTGCTGGCACAGTCACCTGCCAAAGGCAGGAGGGCCTGCCTGTGTGAGAACAGAGGGCACAGCCACCCTGCTCCCCTGCAAGCTGGCCCTGCCTGCCAGGAGCACGGCTGGATCCTCACAGAGCCCACAGCCCCCATCTGGGCACCTTGTGCAGGCAGAGGAGAAGAAACAGGAACCTTCAGAGAGTGATTCATCGTGCTCTAAAATCTGAGCCTTGTGGGAATGCTTCAAAACACACAAGTTCATTTCCTCCCAAAATGCAGCAAAACTGGATGTTTTTTTTTTCCTTAACTGCTTCTGTCCTCACAGGTCTCTCAAAAAAAGTTTAAGAAAAAAAAGAAAAAAAATTGGATTAGATACTTTTGATGTAAACCTGCTTTGGCAGGTGTGAGGTGGGAAGGGAGAGGGGTTTAACAGGATGGCAGAAAGATCCACTGATGAGTGCATCTGAATAGGGCTTTTTCCAGCCCAGGATTACAGGTTCAGTGAAGAGATCTCCTTGCTGCTTTTAGCTGCTACAAGTATTTGCATAGCCAGGCTAAAATACAGTAGGAAAATTGTTTTGTCTGGTATTGCTTCCACTTCTTCCTCAGTTATTGGAGGTGAGGCAGCAAGGAGACAGCAGCATGTGAAAGTCAGCTGTGGGGAGAGGCAGAGAGGATGCAGGGGATGGGACAGTACTGAGAGGGGAAGGGCACCAGTATCCAATTATTGGACATCTGCAGTGAAACCATCTTCACCCCCAGAGCAAAACACCACTGGAGTACAGCTCTGCCTGCCAGGTGGTCCAGTTTGTCCAGGAGCTCCCAGCAGGAGCCTGAGTTGCAAATTTAAACTCTACAAATTTCTGATAGACCAAACTATTTACAGAGAAAAAGGCTATCGACTCACATTTGGAAAAATGTCCTCTTGTCTGCACAACTCTACATTTTTCAATCTAAATTTGGAGGTTTGGCTACTGTGATTTTTCAGGGTATGAGATGTGGGTGAGTATTTTTGTACAAGATAATGTATATCCAAAATGATACAGACTGTTGCTAGAGCCAGAAAAAAGTTACAATGTCAGAATTGCGAGGAGATCAAAATATGCCTTTTAAAGACTATGAAATAGAGAACAACACCATCTAAGTGACCTGACCGAGGTTAGAGCATGAGTCACTTACGGAGGCAGGTGGGGAACTTGCTTCTGTGATCCAAGTCAGAAGCACTTGGAACTCACTCACTGTAAAAAAAATCTCAACAAGGAGGGTCCTGGGGGTTAAAAAAAACAGAATGGAATGATTTACCATGGTTTATGGGTACAAACAATGGCTTAAATGGACACCCTGATGTCTCTGAAGCACTTGTTAGCCAGGGAATGCATTTACAGCTGTGCATCAGCAAACAGAACTACAGAAGCACTGGACTTTTTAAATATAATTAATTAATTATTTTCCCTTCTATAATTCTATAAAATCATCCATCCTGCTCTCCAACCATTGCAAATGTTTCTCTGGCAGTGGATACATTGCTGTGCTCTACAAACAAACTTTGGCTGGTCTTATTATAAATTCCAAGTATTAGGGGACATACAGTCAGTTGGTGTTGTATTGTAACATCTCAATGGAAGTCAATGGAACTACAAAACTACACAATAGTCAAGGAATTACCTGAAGATATTAAAATCATCAGCCTGACTCTTGATATCATGGAATTAAATGAAAGAGAGGATAAGCATTTTTGAGGTCTTGTTATAAAAGAATA